TTGTGCTTGTTCTCAGTACAGCTGAGAATTCAAATCAAGACCAAATAGTTCTACATGCAAATCTTCTCACTCGGCAGCCATCTTTAAAACGTTCTGGGAGCCTATTTGAGCATTTATTTCAAGAAATTATGAAATTATTTTAAATAATCTATAGACTCAGCAGTCAAACCTCCGAGAAGGTTTGATGATTTTGCCACAAAATAAGATTTTGAAAAGCTTTTTTCCCCTGAAAGTTAAGCTTCTGTCACCGTCGTTCCTGTTAATGCTCACTTAGTGCTCAGTGTGTCACTCAGAGGATGAGGTGCTTCTCCCTGCAGCGAGCAGGGGCTTCACAGATTTGAACCGCCGTGTTTGACGCTCTTTATCAACGCCCAGAGACAGTTTAAATGTTAAAACTATAAATGTGCATATACAGAGTTACTGACAGACTTCTTTGTGAACACTCATCTATAGCGACCCACCACAAAACTCCAGAGGTTTATACGCATCCACCAACGGGTCAGCTCGGGGAGGCCGACAGAACAGCAGCCGTCCCTCGCCAGACTCCGACGGCCAGGGTAACAGGTCCAGGATCAGCTTCACCCGCCCACCTATGCAACCTCCTTCCTCCCAGCTCACCAAAGGAAGTTCAGTCTCTGGCAACGAAGGCCCTCCAGCTCCCTGCCAGGTAACCAACCGCAAAGGTCGCAGCACCAAACAGCCTGACCTCCAGAGTCCAAGCTTAGGCGGCCCGTCGCTGTCTCACAGAGGCATCTGCCCCGACGACGAGTTCGCCAACCTCATTGGAGCCATGGACAACGACCTCGACCGTCCAGAGCCGCTCAGTCCCGAAACTCTTCAGGAGCAGAGTTCTCAGTCCATACCAAGCAAAGGTACAGACACAACTTTTAATGAGAGGAGAAATTCTCTGTGGTCGTTCACAGCGTTTTACAGTGTGTGCTGATATCGTTTGCAGGGTTGGAATCCAAAGGGAAGCTGCGCGCTAAAGCAAAAGCCCAGAGAAAGAAGGAAGAGAAGGAGAAAAAGTCAACAGTAAAGACTCAGGGAGACGAGCTCAAAGATCTCGCCGACAACGACGACAGCTCCTCCACGACTACAGAGACCTCCAATCCAGATGTGGAGACAAACATTAAAGAGGTAAAAAAATGTTAAAGTATGTGCCAGCACATGGTCTCTGTTTGTTGTTTGCTAAAAATATGCATCACTTTTTCCAGGAACCAGTAAAAAAGAAAGGAAGGACAATAACCCCGGAAATGGCAAAAGAAGAAACATCAAATTTTCTTATAAAACCTAAAATGAAGAAACAAGTAATCACAAAGAAGGAGAACCAAGCAGAAAAATCCAGGTTTGAGTCTTTTTCTTTTTTTTTTTACTTTTCATCCTAAAGTGACTAAAATAACACAGTGGACTCATTTATGACCTCACATTTTCCACAGAAGGCTTTTCTTAATGTTCTATTTGCGTCTGATATCTGACCAAAAACATCAGTGGCACATAGAAATGCTCAGTGTGACTCCACGCAGTCACCTACAAGTTAAACTACAAGCCACTGCTTCCACTTTGTTCTCTTCCTGAACAAATCGTTCGTGTTCTCAGTTCTCTCGAGCTGCCCTACGTAACACCGCTGGAGACCAAGCAGCGGAAGAACTTCCCCTCCAAATCTCTCCATCCTCTCACCAGCATCACAAAGACGAGACCTCTACAGAAACCTAGATGTAAGTTTTGTATACAATAACTTTATTTAATTATGCCATCCAGAATTTGACCTTCATACTGTGAATATTTTCAGTATTACAGGCCTTCGAAGTACATGAGGGGTTTCTCGTTGTTTTTACTGCCATTTTTGAGGCTTCATAAATACAGCAGATATTCACATGAAATTTCCAGAGCTGAAAAACACATTTAAAGACGCTCAGTCCTTTAACTTTTAGTGGGTGTAGCACCTGATTATCTATCTATCTGATGGTCTAAAGCCAAGATATAATCATGTTTTTGTTCTTTATGGGTTTTTTTTTCTTTGAGCATCACTATGATGGGCTCATACTTTGAATAAAAAGCAGCAGTTTAATGTCTGTGATGTAGAGGAGCAGAATCAGAAAGCATTAGTGCCCTCATCTGTTTCTGAAAATTCACTGCGGGGTCATATTTTCATGTGGGCTGGGTGGCTGCTCAAAACAACTTACAGGATATTAAACGTCTCCTTTATACCTTTATACAAACATAGATTTCATGTGTCTGTCTTCGAAATTACGAGGAAGTAAAAATAACACGAATAAGCAGTGCCAAAGTTCAGTCATATTATAAAGGTAAAACTTTGCATGGCGTCATGTAACATGCTGAATAAAAATCAGCCGATTCTTAGAGTCGGATCCACTAAGGCCAGCAGGCAACTAAGAGGCACTTTCCACGGAATGACCTTGGTGGTTTTGGCGTGTTTTTCACAGTAGACGGAAAGCTGGAGGACGGGCGGCCTTCCTTTTTCCCCAAAGCGTCAGAGCTGGGACACAGCAGCAGCTCTGAAGGAGAGAAGGAGTGCGCTTCACCTGAGTGGGACGTCCCTCTTTCCAAAAACAGCATCCGTAAGTCCAGACCCAATCGGTGGCGTCAGCTCGCGTTCAGACCGGTCTTCGACGAGTCTAACGAGCTGCTTTACTCCCGTCTCCTTTTGCAGCAGCTGACAGTCTTCAGCAGATCTCCCTGCAGACGATAAATGCAGATCCTTTCCTGAAGCGATCGGCCACAGCTGGGACCTGCTCCCCTCCACCCACCTCCCCCAGCTTACTGTCTCGAGGAACCTACAGCAGTGTGGTCAGCAGCAACAGGTGATTCACATGCAGGACAGTCAGTCGTTTAGGACTCTTGTTAACAGTGAGAGGCGCCAAGGCCATAGACAGGACATGTTTTATCTTGATTTGTCAGAATAAAGCATGCTGCAATTCTAACAAGAGTACTGAACACGTGCTGTATATTCACAGTGAGATAAACCAGAAGAAAGCCCCAGGAAATAAACTGCCTGCAGCCCTCCCGCAGCCGGGCAAAAACGGGAACCTCACTTTTGCTGACGCTGTAACTAAAGGTTATGACAAAAGCCCAGGTGAATATGGAGCGCTGAATCAGTCCTTTATGTTAGTGGGAACATTTTTCCCACTGTGCTTTGTTTACGGGATGTTTTCTGCCTCCCTCAGGTGGCTCTGGTGCAGGTAAAACTGACAGCCAAGGCAAGAGTCTGGAGCACATGAGATCCTTTGAAAGCGACAGCTCAGACAGGTAACAGGAAGGAAAGTGTGCACCAGCACAAATATCTCATTTTAGAGGCAGTTTACTGCAAATTGAGCTGAAATTAGTGTTGAAATAAGCACAAGATGATATTCTGCTCTGCCAAAGGAGTGTTCATTTATTTGGAATGACAGAGCAGATATTATGAGGATGGTATTGGCGCAGGTGAATGGCTCAAAGCTGCGAACAGGTGCCAAGGCTTCGGTTCTGTCCTGAAACTCGTCAGTTCTCTCCACAAATGTTTGGATTGGATTGAAAGGAAGTGGCTGTGTCCTTGTTTGTAGATCAGCACACTGCTGCACAAATTTCCACTCTCTTGCGATCGTGGCCTGACAGTAATGTGCAGTACTCTGGATCGGTGTCCCAGGGCCAGCTCTATTAACTGAGCGTTCCTTTTTATCTTAAAGCTCTGGACTGTGGAGTCCAATCGACACGACCAGCAGTCCAAACTACCAGTCGGCCAACGCTTTCTCCGCTTTTGGCTCCAACAACCACTTCAACCTGACGGGAGGTAAGCAGACGGACGCAGAGCCTCGTGTTCAGATTGTTCACAGCCTTCCAGCTAAAATGTGTGTGGTGTCTGTTGTTTTTAGTGTTCAGTGGAATGAGTCTCCAAAAGCCATCTGAGCCTCAGCAGAGCTGGCCAGAGTTCACTACCACCGTCCCCTCCTCCATCTGGGACATACCGAGCCCCACTGATCCCCTGCACTCCTGGACCAGCACCCCCAGCTCTACGCCCACCTCAGCCACAGTGAGATCTTTTCTGTGATATGATGCAGTTCGCAGATACTCCGACTTCCTGTTCATGATTTTATTAAATTTTTTCCCCTTAGTCACTCCTGGGAAACGGCCGCAACCCGTGGTCTACAACCACACCCTTCGGCAGCTCCATTTGGTCAACGAGTGCAGAGCCAGCCTTAAACCCTTTCCCTCCAACCACCACCTCGACACCTCTGACGGATCTCGTCAGCAGCTCCGCTCCGTCGCCACCGCCAGCCGTGGTGGCTTCCACCGAGATGAGTCGGACCTACAACCCCTGGAGCATGTGGGGCCCCACCGTTAGCAGGCGCAGCTCTGAGCCGTGGCCCAGCTCCTCCAACAACACCAACTAAGGCCACGCCGTAGCACTTAAGTTCTCTGTACTCATAAAGCAAATTCTCATGTAATCAGATTCCCGACAAGAAGCAGCCTGGAGCGATCGCCAGCCTGGCGCTGCGTATAGGTCTCTGCAGCTTTTTATTCCCGAGGGGTGGGGGTGGGGAGGGATGCTCACTTTTATTTGAATTTCTTTTAACAGGTTTCCCTAAAGTTAAGAGGCTGATAGCACGGCGAAGGCTGCGTTTGTCCTTTAAAAGTGACACTTGGAGCAAAATCTCTTAAGTTCAGTATTAATGTTGGAATAGATGTCTATTTGAAGCCATAAGTCCCGCTTTCACCATCACTTGGATTCCTACTGGTGGCTTTGAGGTCTGTCATTGCACCAGGCTTTTATTTGGCTGCAGGGATCTTGAATAAATCCAGAGTTGTTCTTCATGAAACAGCCCCCAAAAAAGCTTCAAGAAAATTCATGTCCCCACTACTTTTTTTCTTCTTCTTCAAAGCCTTCTGTGGGAATAAATTGGTCAGGTGATCAAAAAAATATTTAAGTTTGAGGTTTGTATTGTACATCACCTCGATTTGTCAGCAAAATTAAATAAAGGATTTCAGCAGAAACGCTCATGTTTCAGGTTTTTTATTCCATTGAAACATTTCAAGCTTTAGGCTTTTACAACAGCTTTGCATGATTCAAAATGATCCTTCTTTATATGACACTGGGCCTCATTGCAGCCCCTCAGTGCATTCTGTGTCTAAAGCCAGCCTTTATGACCCAAGACGTAGAAAAACCTCAGAATGATTGAAGAGCCGTCTGAAGCTTCGGGTACGTACACTGACCTCATTACAAAGAGCATCCACGACTGGACATGGAACAGCAGAGAGGTTTAGGTTGTTGTGCGCTTCACCTGAAAGCCTGAGCCCTAAAAGTTTACCCAAAACTACTGTTTGAAGAAAACCGATCAAATATCCACGGTAACAATGCTGGTTCTGTTCCTCATACATAAATATGTGTTTATGACACGATATCCCATTATCCTAAAAAACAAAGTAAAAAGTCGATTGACAAAGTTATGATAGGAAACATTTTTAGTTAAGAATATTATATATATTACTGGCACACAGTAACATACAGCCAATGAAACCCTCCAAAGGGTATTTTTAAAGTTAACGTAGCACGTGTTTAGTGGAGCATCCTCATCTTATGTCTCAGATTGTAATTTTTAATGTAAGAGATTTTACGTTAGTGCTGTTACGTTGCATGTTACTGATGCTAAAAGTTTATTATTGGAAACAGAATAAAAATGTACTCAGTATGATTTGGTGTGTTTGTGAGATGAGTACAAACAACTTTCATGTGACAAAGTTTCAAGCTTTGTTACCCTCAATGTTCGATCCGTTTTCTGATTATTAATCGTAGAAAAACTTTACCAAGTGCATTCTTTGTAAAATTTCACTCATCTTTTCGCCGTGAATCCTCCTGAGTCCAAATCATTTTCTGATATAGCTTTTATTTTTTAGATTGTGACACTTGGAGTGGGTCTAAAATTGATTTGGTTGCAGTTTAAATGTCCTTAGCTCTGATGTACTCTTGAGGGATTTTAATTTTAAACAATCACGATCGCCTATAACGGTAAAAGGTTGCATTGCTTTATTAAATAAAACATTCCAAAAAATCCAGCTTATTGTGATTGGTCAGGTGGGAAAATTTAGTAACCATCTTCCCTGACATCATTTGTGGCTATAAAATGATGTCAGTCAAAGGGCACTTAGTGATGCAGCAGTTAAATGAAGGAAGTCCAGACTTTACTTCTTGCAGGGCTGTCTGAGGGACTCCTTCAGAAGCTCGCTGAACTTGGCTGTGTCACATTTAGTCAACACAAACACGCTGTGGCTCTTCTTCAGCTGATTTGTGCGATCCAGCGCCAACATGCCTCGAGCAATGGAGCCCTGGAGCTCCACGCGGACGGGACACTCGATGCTCTCCGTCACCACGCTGCGGTCGATGCAGGCCGCCATCGCGTAGGAATCATAGGAGACAAAGCCCGGCCCAAAGTACACGTCTCTCTTAGTCATCATGGCCTCTCTGGAATAAGCCCAGCATTTAGACGTTATCATCCTCATGAAGCGTGCAGCTGGAGCGTCCTGATTGACGAGCTCCTCAAGGAACTCCTGCACAAATCAGGAATTTCAGTTTAAAGTGACCCACATGGCAGGGCCATGCACTTCTCTAAGCGTGGAGATCTTACCCACGTCAGTGCGTTTCTGCACGCATACTCCCACGATGCCAGGTAGGTAGGACAGAGGAACTCCTCAAGAACAATATAGGCCGACTCTGGATCCATGGCGAAGTTAAACTCTGCACACAGAGTCACGTTTCCTTTTCCTATAAAGGCAGAAGCACCATTATTCACTCCTGAACGCCTCACGCTCGAACACCAGTCACCACGAGGCCGTTTTACCTTCCATGTTGCCGCCCATGATGTACACCTCCCTGAGCTTTTGGGGAAAATGGGGGTCAAGTCTGACCGCCAGCGCCAGATTAGTGAGCGGGCCGAGAGCCACCAAGGAGACCTGTGGAGGACATGTTTTCTTCCATTAGTGTTTTCTCAAGGGGAATTGTTGAGATCTGTGCCTAACTGAGCAAAGAATCATGCTCTTTGGGAAACGCATCACAATTTAGGATCAAATTGTGACTAAACGAAGGAGTTTTTGAACCTGGTTCTGGTTTTCGGACACCAGTCTTATCATTGCGGTAACTGCATGCTCCTTTTGGATTTTCTCCTCCCAACAAGGATCTTTCTCCTTTATCACATCTCCGAGTCCATCACTTCCAAAGTGGTCAGTGGGTGAGTTTCCCGCTCCAACCAGAGGGCCAGCAGAACCTCGAAACACTGGAATCTACAGGAGGAAGTTCAGATTAGTGCAGCTTTCCTTACAGATTAACACCTGAGTTCTGCCGACACAACACTGCGGTGTAAACCCTGCTGGCCAGGCTCAGCAAGACTTGTCACAAAATACCAAAGATTACAATATATTAAACTCCGCCAAGGATGTTACTTTAATGCTGCCATTTGTGTTTATGTGAGCAGAAATTCACTAGTCCAGGAACCTTTCTCCTAATCTGGTTAAACTAACATTTTATGAACATGCATGACAGGAAGTCTGTTACTGACTCTCAAAGGCAGACAAATCCCATCTGTTTAAACAACCAATGGATGATTTACAAAGGTATAAAAAAAAAATCCTTAAAGGGACCTCAGAGAGGGCAGTTTAGAAACAGATCATTGTTTCTAAACATAACATCTGTGTGTGTGTGATGCAGTTTTTATTTAATAATTGATATTTGAATAGCTGGAGGTCTGTGCTCTTCTAATTTCGACAATACCCTAATTGTTGTGACTAATGAGTCTGTGTGCTACACCAATACTTTGAAAAGTAACAACTTAGACTGTTTCTACAGCACATTTAAACACACGTGAACCGAAGTGCTGCACAGCAGGTGAAACATTCAGTAAAAAATTCATAGAAAATGAATCATTTAAGAACATTACATCTATATTAAAATACACAAATCTGCATTTCCTCAGATTGTGATTGTTCAGACAGCTTCAGTAAACGCACCCCGTTACGCTCACAGACTGAGAGCACCCTCAAAACGTTCTGACACACGTTGTCGACCGTCGTGTTCCCAAACACGCAGGTGACGCCCAGGATGTGGATGTTAGGCGCCGCCAACGCCATCATTATTGCCTGAGCATCGTCTATGCCGCAATCGGTGTCGATGATCATTAGCTTCTTTTCCATGGTCTCCTGTAAGATTACAAACAACACAATACATTAACTGTAAAACAGTAAAATATGATGAGCTCCTAACAGGCGGACATATGCACCACCTGGTTTTTCATTAGAGAGGAGTTTTTCACTGCTCTGCCTATCAAATATCTCCAGGATCCTGATTCTCAGCTCACACAGTAGATTCTGCTCAGTATTCAGAGCTGTCTGAAGGACCTTTGTCATCATTACCTGTATCTGCTGAGAGAAACTCCTCTAGTGGACTTCTGTACCTTTGGAGCCTGCCTCGGTTCTTGTTGCCTCACACCTGGCTGTGGCAGTACAGGTAGGTGGAGACACTCATACAGATTAACTTCTCCTCGGTGACCCTTTGGACTCTGAGGTTACTCTTTCTGGCAAGAGACGGTTTTGTTTTGTTGTTTTTTTGACATTTTAATCTTCAAGTCTTCAATCAAAGACTAAACAGCAGTGTAATATTCCTCACCATGACCTCTGAGGAGTGTTATCCTGTTATCAGGTTTGATTTGCCCCTCAGCCCTTTTTCTTTTCTGTGTTTGTTAAAACAAGAAATGCCAGGGAAATGCTCTATTAGCAATGAAAATCCTACAGATAATACTAGAGTCAGTGGTGTCATTTTAGTTCAGAAAGGTACCGAAAAGTTTTGACACCAATATCACATCAATCATATGTGTTACTTGTTACGAAGAGCAAAATATCCCACACAAATCTGACTAAACTGGGAGCTGTTTCCACAAAAGAGAGCCCTGAAAACTAAAGGCTTTTCAGAATGTTTTTAAAACAACCTAATAATAATGAACTCAATTACTCAATAAAGTATTTAAGTAAGTAAGTTTGTGAGGTTTGCTCATAGGGGGTCATCTTGATTGTTAGCTCTTTGCCTTACAATAAAAAGCATCTTGATGCAACTGTTGATCTGATTTGGCGTTATGTAAATAAAAAGAAGTATTATTGGTTATTCAAATAATATTATCATCTGAAATGTGTTAAATAAATTCTAGTATTGGAACTGAAAAACATATCTTAACCATGAACAAATATTTAAAACAGAAGTTGACCCAAGGTTCTTTAAAACTCGGTTCTAAAAAAAATTAAATGAAATAAATTCTTTTAAAAACCAAAAAACGTTTCAAAATACATGACAAGCTGAAAGGGTTGTTTTGTTGTGTTAACTAATTATTATGGAAAGTTACTATCGCTGTGATTTAGTGACCATTGTAACATGTTCAAGCACACTGCTCTGTATAAACTGCTTTTATAACTTTGAAGTATCCGTATCGGTAAGATTGGCCCTGTATTTTACTTGTTATCATATAGCACACCGCCAGGGACAGGAGAAGTCATTCTGCTAGTGATTCGGCTAAGCTTAGCAATTAGGTTAGCTTCCTAAACAAACAATGAGTGAATATTATGCGTATAATTTGCAGATGATTCAGCAAAGAGTGTGTTTCTGATAAAGAACGTGAAGGTTACATTGTGAAATGAGCCGTTAAACAAAAGCATGTAAGCATGTAATGCACAGATTAACCTGCTGAAAAACACCACTGTAAGTAGTAACAGGAACCGGAAGTGATCCAATAGCAAGCCACGACCGCCAGAGGACGCGCAAAGATCAAAGTTCAGGTTTGCTTATAGTTTTTAGAGTCAGGTCACCTGTTAGAAGAAAGAAATCACAGTATGTCCACTACAAAAACGGCCAATCTGTATTTATAGAGTGATCGTGCGGTTTAAACTGCAAGTAATGTAATTATATTTTCGCTTTTAAAGGTTTAAGTCGGATCTCCAATGAACAGACTCACCTTAGGTCTGCGTGCTTGAGCTTCAAAGAGCCTCCGCAGGCGCTCGAGCATTTCGTGAGCCGCAGAGGGACACATTTCCGGTCTCTCTCTTATAGCCGTCTCCCCTCTGTCACACTGTCTTGTCTCAATCTCTTCCATTTTTCTTTCCTCAGTCTTTCTTACTGGTATGAGTACAGGGCGTGGCACTGGTAACCTTTAAACGTTTAAAATAATGCCTTGAAATAATGCAGAAAAATATTAACCGTTATGTTATTATTCATGCTGTCATTATTAACATTTTTTGTAGCTATACTGTTAAAAGTGACATACACTTTTAACAGTATAGCTATGATCAGCAGCTATGCACTCTGTGTTTGTGTGCATTGTGGTACAGGGGTCGTCCTCTGGACCACAGGGCGATGTATAAAGATGCTTGGGACAGCGTCTGCCTTCAGTCTCAACTTTCCCTTTTTAGTACAAACTGATCTGCCTCAAAATGTGCCTACAGACTAACTTCATTATATTTATTTCCATATACACAGAAACTAATTTACAGAATATGCAGCTCTACATGTCATTACATGTCTATAGGTTTATAAAAGTTTATGTTACATTAGTAACTGATGATTCTTTGCTAAATATCAGCAGGCAGTTTCCCATTCAAGCCTACTGCATGTCTGCATTTAACTTGCTCTCGGCAAAACCAATGGAGGTATTGAGATTCTCAACTCCTGGGTTTTTGGAAAATGTTTTAAGTATATGCCTTTCTGTGTGGAGTTTGCATGTTCTCTCCGTGTTTGCGTGGGTTCTCTCCGGGTACTCCGGCTTCCTCCCACAGCCCAAAGACATAACTCTAAATTAGCCCTGTGACAAACTGGCGACCTGTCCAGGGTGTACCCTGCCTCTCGCCCTATGACAACTGGGATAGGCTCCAGTCCCCCACCCTGAAAAGGGATAAGCGGAGGAGAATGGATGGGTGGATGGAAAAACAATGTTAACTTGTTACAATGGCGTTAAAGCCATAGTAATAACTGTTAACGCCGTGGGTAACGGTGACCGTTTACTCACCGCATACATATATATTAATGAAACTACATATAAGATAACATTTTTTTTTAAGTTAATGCATTTAGAGATTAATAATTACCACAAATAATAAATGTATCGACGGACGTGTCTCTGAGTCTACAAATTTAAATTGCCCGGTATGCACTTTCAGGAACTATCTGAATATATCACGTGACGCTGACGAGACTCGTCCATTCAAGCGCTCTACTGTGATTGGTTTAAACTGAGAAATAATTTTACTGAGACGGGAAGAGGAGGCGCCAACTGGACACGTCCAAATATGTAGTAAATTTAATGCAGTGCAATAACATACACATGTGTGCGATGAAAAGTGTTTTTGCTCATTTAAACTTTCTGTTTTTGTTTTTTTTAACAACATCTTATAAGAATTTAACAACGTTGATATTTCCCTTCCTCCCGGTTGCTCCTCAGAATGGTATAGTCCGATGGACCTGCTCAGGAAGAGGCTGCGGGTCAGAAGGACGACGTTTGTTGCTTATTTTCGGCTATTTTCCACATTTTTCGTGCTAATGTGTGCGGCGATTTGGTAGTTTGCTCTCAGCTTTATCTTTTTCCGCCTCTCCGCCAAGGGTGGTCATTACTGAAGATTTTATGAGTCTATCTGTGATGCTGAAAATGACGGCTGGGCGTGTTTACGTCCGCTAACCAAATTGGATGTTTGTGGGTGATCGCAGCAGCTTTACAGGTGAACCGTTAGTTAATGTTTAGGTGGATATCAAGAGCCATGCTGTCTGTTTCTATGATAGGTGACTCATTGTAGGCTAAAGGCTAAGAGGAACAGTGCTTGTTTGTCTCTCCGTGAGCCTGACAAGTGACATTCAGGATTATGTCTTTGGAATTTGTTATGTTCATAGTTTCAGGTGTTTTCGTTAACGTGGACCAACACTGGGTTTGCCAGGGGGACGATTTAAAGACTGTATATAAATGAAGGAGCTAGCTTGCTTTATAATTGTATAAGACCCTCTGCCTATTAACACTCTACTTTGTCTATAAAATTTCTTTTTTGATATCTGCTTCATGTTTGTCCACCATCCCTTCCAATGAAGATCTGAGCATCTTCAGCTCTACCTCCTGTCTCCAAACCATACATGAAAGCAGGTCTCATTACCATCTTGTAAACCTTCCCTCTCACTCTTGCTGCTCTCCTGTCTTCACCTCTCTCGTCCGCGGTCGAGAGAGTTAGTTACCCCAGTTATTTAAACCGATCTATCTTCGTTACCTGTGCTCCATCCGTCTCTCTTTCATCCACAAACATGTATTCAGGCTTGCTTTTACGGATCTCCATTCATCCTCTCTCCAGTATATACTTCCACCTCTGCTGCCACTTCACCAACGCATGGCACAACATATAAGAGCCACCTCCACGTGACAAGACTCAGCAGTCCATCTGCATCTAAAGAACAAAGGTCACTCTTTCGAAAATGCCAGTGTTCACATTTTGGACAGAGAAGATGGATGGTTTGAAAGAGGAGTAAAAGAAGCCATTTATGTCCACTGTGAGCGACCATCTTTGAACAAAGGCGGTGGCTTACGACACCAACTGTCTGCCATCTATAATCCAGTTTTGAGTTCCCTTCCCAGACGCCTTAACGCCCACTCACATCCTGGGCCATATGACCTCAGGAAATCACATGATAGGGTGGGGCTAGGTTTCACAATGAGCTCACCCAAAACCTTGGCTGATTATGACCTACACCCGTTTTCACACCTTGGCTCATGTGATTGGGTAGAGGATCATTAGGGGGTCCTTTTGTCCCTCTTGGGGGGATACTCCCACAGGGTTTAAATCTGGGACTCTCCACCATTTGACCCTAGAACTGAAGAAGCTTCTCGGATGAGAGATGAAACGTCTTCAAGCAACTTAAAGAAGTCTTTCGTTAGACTTCCACCTCTGCAGACTCCACTTGATCACTACGGATCAGTGTCATCTGCAAACTCCTGCCTGACCTCATCCATCAGCCTCTCCATCACCACTGAACAAAATTTAATCTCACCCCCAACTTGAACCCATCTGTCACTCCTAACACACATCTCCCCACTGTCTCGCTGTCCTCATACATGTCCTGCACGACCTTAACATACTTTTCTGCCACTCCTGACTTCCTTATGCAGTTCCTCTTTTGGCGCCTTATAATATCCTTTCTCTGATCCATGCAGAGACCGTCAATCTCCTTCTGACCTTTTCTGTACTCCCCCATCAACACTCCCTAAGCACACATTACATCTGTAGAGCTCTTTCTCAGCATGAAGGCATACTGCTGCTACTTAACCTAGCTTCAACAACTCTTTCCCACAGCTTCATGGTGTGGAGCTCTGCACATCACCCTTGTTCTTGAAAATCAGTACCAGTGCACTTCTTCTCCATTCCTCAGGCATCCCCTCACTCTGTAGGACTTAATTATTTAATTATTAAGCAATCTTGTTGAAAAGTCCACTGGAAATTTTTGATAATGATGGATTTTGCTAGTTATGGTAACTGTTAGACTAAGAAAGTTGGTTCATGTGTTTCAGGAGCTTTTTGGTTCTGCATTCTCTCCAATGTATGATCCAAATACATTTGAAGGCAGGTGATTGGATGCAAATTCCTTTCACAGAAGCAAAAATATTAAAATATTAAACATCACGTGCAACAAAAAGGCAAAAATAAAGTAGAATAGTTTGGTAAAATAAAATACAGTAATGGAAGACAAGCTCAGTGTGGTAAAAATTACAAAGAAGAAGGAGAGGGAGAACAAATACACAGAAAGAGCTTGGTGAATAAAAATCTGTTGTGATATGTAACATATGTAAGATTCCCCTGTGTCTGTGTTTGTGGCAGCAGAGCTGAGCTATCCTGATGTAATACAGATGTTTCTGTGTCAGATAAAACTATTAGCTGACTGATTTCTCCTATCTGAGTGCAGTGTGAGGTCTCTATCTCTGCACTTTCATCTTCTTCTCATATATTTTGAATAACCTCCTTTTTTCCCTGCAGAGGTCACTTCTCCATCATCGCGTTCCGTCTCGTCCGGTTCTGTTGCCAGTCAGCTTAGCGGCCGCTCGATGCCTAACACCTCAGAGGGTCAGGGAACAAACCTGTCTGGGTCTGCGGAGCCATCAGGGCTGCAGCGGACCGCAGACAGGGAGGAGGAGCACAGCCTGATTCGGTCCCTGGCCCGGGATGCCGCGAGGGTGAGGCGGGCTTCTAGTGCTGAGCTCCACCTGCCGTGGACCTGCCCGGTCACACACTCCCGTGAGAAGTTCTACACAGTCTGCTCTGATTATGCCCTCTTAAACCAGGCTGCCTCCGTGTACTGCCCCCCAAACACAGGCAGGGACGCGCTCTCAAAGAAGCAGGATGACGGATCCCCACGTGTAAAGCCCAAACCCTCCACAGAGCTCAGTGCCGCACACACTGGAGGTTCCCGTGGGGGGGCAGGCGAGGACTGTGACATGGAGGACGTGTCCAAGCCTATTTTGGCCTGGGAGATTGACACAGCAGACTTCAACACTGCATATACAAGGAAAATAAGAGCAAGTAAGAAAGGTCTGGAAGTGAATTTAATCAGTTTGGTTTACATGATGTCACACTTTGATGTTTTTTGAAACACTTTTTCAGGCAATGGTAAGAAATGCGGCGCTAAGAAGATGAAGTCATCCGACAGACCCAGCAGGAACCTGCAAGATGTCCCTCCTCACGCCTCACTGGAGGAGATCAAACAGAGGAAAGTGCTCGACCTCAGAAGATGGTAATGTTATATTTAGCCTCCATTTTCATTTCCTCCATGTTCGTGCAGTGACTTTTACAGAAAGGAAAGCAGAGACCATCCCCTCCATCTCCCTGTACACACAAACAAAAAACATCTCTCTTTACTATTTACTCACTATTTAACAAGATAAACTGGATCAGATTAAAACATACCATTCATGCTGTTTATTTTCACTCTACATGGACATCTTCACATTTTTGTATCTACTATCTGTTTAGGAAAAGAACCAATAAAACACTATGAAAACACCTCAGTATACATGAAACTGTTTTATTGGAAAGTTGTGCCTAAAATATCAAAAGTAAAAATAATCACTCTACAGAATAATGTTCTCTCTCTGTGTTAAATCGTGTATTATTTATATTACCTTAAACATATAACTGCTGTGTATGTTTAAGGTTGAGCGCATTGTAAATAGTTATTCTGTTTAATGTTTAATGTCCAACATCACATGTTTGCGATGATCTCTAAAAAAGTTAATGAGCTGATAAATACAGGTCTACAAAAGTATATGAAAATATTAATCACAAAAAAATAATCTGAATTAAAAGCGTTGAGTGTTGTGTGACGTGGTTAATGGTCAATATCTATCGGGGGATTAAAATATGGATGGAAAATGTTGGTGGAGTGTTGGCAAAACAGCTGGTTAAACCTATTACGTTTAGAGATTTTTATAGATGCTATTCTGAAAGTGCTGCTGAGCCTGCACCTGCTCAGCTTGCCTGTTTTATTAGACCAGACATGGTCAGCGCCACTGTCCATTATGTCCATTATGGTTATAGCTTCCCTTGCTAATGTACTAAAGGAGTTATTAACATCCTTTTCAAACTTCATCTTCTCTACATCACACATGTCAGCTGAGGTGATTCGCCGACGGTAAATCACTGAAGCTCTTTTACTTGCTACTCCACCACTAAGCTGTGTTTCCACACAAAGGGTCAATCATAATTGATATCAGAGCAGTGAAAGCAGAGCCGGGGTTGCTTCCCTTGCATTCTTGTTTCCCATCAGACCAGACGAGAGGTTTGTCCAAAATGTGCATATGCAAACCATCAGAAAAAAGCTCCTCCGGTCAGTGTTACTGGGAGACGGACACGACTATATAACAGAGGGAGCTATGGTCTCCATTGTGCATGAAATAAGCGCAGCTTTAGCGACAACTGCTGACTGTGGCCACAAGATGGCAGTCATGTAGAGGATGGATGGAAACATTTGATTGTCTGAGATAAAAGGGGAGAGATTGATTTGACTCTCTGCACTCTCCATTTTCACTGCAGAGCTTTAGAGCCAGCTCAATGCCCTTTTTTGTCCCCTGGGGTCAGGATTTACTAAAGAAGGGCAGTAAAGTTTTGAAACCAAAGAGCGAGGACACGGTCAGCGCATTTGTGTTTATTTGAATGAGTTTTTCTTTCACAGCACAACGGCTGTCTCGTTTTGTTGTCGCTGTGGCTGTGACAGCTGCATCTAGAAGTGTTCATTTATCTGAAATTGTAATTGCACAGGCGGATGACTGAAAGCTGTGAGGGCAGTGCCAAATGTTTGCCTCTGTCCTCCGGGTTTTTTCTGGAGTAAGACTCTGCCATTCTGCTGAATGGTTGCACATTGATTTAAGGCAGTGAATATTTGTTACCTTCCTACTGTAATCCAGCATTTCCTGTTATTTCTGGCAATTTTGATAAACCAATATGAATACTTGAAGAAATTAAACCCCATATAAAAAAGTATTTTCATTGCAACCCCGGTGATTCTCCAGAAGCTCTTGTCTTCTTTCGGAGAGGACCCGTTACCTTAACAGAAGTCTGTCTTTTGTGTTATAATCCATTTTTCTGCAGGTACTGCATCAGTCGGCCACAGTATAAGACGTCTTGTGGGATCTCCTCGCTGGTTTCCTGCTGGAACTTCCTGTACAGCACGCTTGGCGCAGGAAAGTGAGCAGCCTGCATCTTATCTCATAAAAAAAAAATCAGCTTATGAAGTGTGGGCGATGAATAAAAGGTGTAAATGTTTGTTTGCATTGCCAGTCTGCCACCCATCTCTCAGGAGGAAGCTCTGCATATTCTGGGGTTTCAGCCGCCGTTTGAAGAAATCAAGTTTGGTCCCTTCACCGGCAACGCTACACTGATGCGGTACACAAACCTTCCGTCTTTTACTTTAAAAAAAAAAAATCTAAAGAGTGCGCAGGTCTGCAGTCAGTGCGTTTTCCTCACAGGTGGTTCAGACAAATCAACGACAACTTCCGAGTGCGAGGTTGCTCCTATATTCTGTACAAACCACACGGAAAGCACAAGACAGCAGGAGAAACAGGCGAGTCAGCTGACCCACTCAGCGCTGTTATTCTTACAGATGTGCAGCTTGAGTGATTAAACTCGTTCTTCTTTTCAGCTGAAGGAGCTCTGATGAAACTGACACAAGGCCTGAAGGACGAATCCATGGCCTACATTTACCACTGTCAGAACCACTACTTTTGCCCCGTGGGGTTCGAAGCCACGCCGCTCAAAGCAGCAAAGGCGTACAGGTAACGCCACGTCACAGCAGTTAGAACTGCTCATTTAGATCAGTGCTCGCTAAAAGCTGTGTTTTGAGATTTTTCTGCTAGCCCCTGCACAAAATATAATGAATGAGGTTTCGGTTTACTGCATTGATCCACATTAAAGGCTCATTTTATTTTATGTAGATATTTACTTGATGATGCTCGTTCATTCTTTTTTAAACTTTTTTAAACTTTTTAATTTAGCTTATTTCTTTTTGTGTAGAGTTGTTTTGTTTTGTCATATTTCTTTGTTGCATTGTTTGCTGTAAGTTTACGTTTGTTAGAGATTTTATTTAATCTTTTGGCTGCGTGAAAAAGACGTTTTAATGGGACTCTTTGCAGTCCTGAGGACAAAGTCTTGACTTGAATTAGAGGGTAAGTAACAGGAAACTGTTTATTCTTAGAGGTGCTCAGGAAGTGTGAACACCTCTTTAAAAGCAGAGGCTTCGGCACATTCAGGTGTGTGCTAAGTCTTCCCAGGAGTGGACATCCCAGCATATTCACTCCATGCTCAAACCCTGCAGTGCTCAGAGAAACTCCATAACTCTACAGGCCACAATAAGCATGTTAAAGGTTAAATCCATGAAAGCACACTTTAAAAAACTTAATTTACCTAATTTTATGACCCTCTGAGGAGCAGCTGATTTTTTTATTATGTCCTGAGATGTAAAATCTTATGGACTTAAACAAGAGACTTTACATTCTTAATGTCACCATATGAAAATATTAACAAATTAGTTGACTAGTTTTTAGTAACAGATGTTGTCCTGTTTTCTGTGAAGGGGCGCTCTTCCCACTAACGAAATGGAATACTGGATCTTAATCGGGGAACCCAGCAGAAAACATCCGGCTATTCATTGTAAAAAGTATGTTTCTGTTCAGTTTTTACTCCATTTCCACGTCTGCTGCTGTTAAGCAGTTTAACAGGAAGTTCTCTCTGCAGGTGGCTGGATATCGTGACTGACCTCAACACCCAAAATCCAGAATACCTGGACATTCGCCACACAGAGAGGGGGATTCAGCGCCGCAAAACCAAAAAGGTTCCAATTCTCAGACCAGCTGTTTAAATGTTTGTGTGTCTGAGATGGTGAATAACTAAAAGGCTTCTTCATTCGCAGGTAGGTGGAAACCTGCACTGCATCATGGCCTTCCAGAGGGTCAACTGGCAGAAGCTTGGCCCCTGGGCGCTGAATTTGGAAAACCTGCGGCACGACTTTCACCAATCTGCCACGGAAAGGGCCCACGCGAGCGACGACAGCGAAGAGAGGACGTCAGCCAAGCGGATGGCCCAGCTGGGACGCTCGCACAGCATGGGAAGCCAGAAAGACACCAGCTGGAAACGCCTGTCCAACAGCACGGAGTACAGACAGCGCAGCTCGCCCGACAGCGACCTCGAAGAAGACATCACAGACTGAAAGGTTCTTAGGGATGAGCAGGATGAGGACTGAGTATCTAAACAGTAGTGAAGTTATGAAGTTAAAGAATAGGTCTGGGGTTTTCTGCAGTTTACTGTTAATAAACGGCATGAAAACACCAAAATGCACTGTTAGTGAAGCGTTAGGACTCTTTAAATGTCCAAAAACAGCTCAGATACGTAGTTTCATTTTTTTTTTAAATCATCTCCTAAAACTGCTCGATGCATCCATTTCTTCTGCTTATCCAAAGTCGGGTCACTTCTAGGCTCAGCAGGTTATGCCAGATATCCTTTTTCCCAGTGACCTTTCCCGTTCCCCCTGCGGCATCCCAAGGTGTTCCCAGTCAAAATGAGATATGGGTCTGCTAGGGGGTCTCCTCCCAGTTAAAAACCTATAGAGGGAAGTGACCAGGAAGCAGTTTTTATTGAATTTATTGACAGTAGAAGCTTTACAGAAATCACAAGAGTCTTTTTTGAATATTTAAGACTACCACATGTTCAGCTCATTTTAGTGCTTTGAAGCAGATACTCTCTTTAGGGTGTTTTCACTTCTTGTTTGTCTCCTGTGGCCATATCCTTTTTCTTTGCTCACTTTGTCCTTTAGCAGTGAAGACAAGCAATATGGAGACAGCTGCTTCGCAATCATTACAGAGGCAGTTCCATGACTGATCCACATGAAATTTCTGGCCCATGTAGCATTGCGTGCAGCTTTCAGGTCAGCAGTAACTTGAAATGGTTTTCCAGCCTTGTGTTTTCAGTCTGAAGCAGTAAACCGACAAACTAACGAAGTAAACTTTGAGGCCATCAGTCGTCTGCGTCCTTCTAACCGGGGCGACATTGAACCAGTTACAGTTATTTCCTCTGGAAAAAGGTTGAGTGTTGAGTGAGTAAAAATTCAGCAATAATTCTCAAATACATGTTTCCCATGTAAATCGTCCCAACTTTCTCTTTGTAACACTACGGCAAGTTTGGTTCTTCGGTCTGTGGAAATGTGGATTGGCAGCAGCCGAATTTCTTCAATAGCTCTGTGTTGTTGTGTCGAGACGCAGCAGAAGAACTGAAATTAATAAACTCATTTGTAGCCACCTGTTGCGAAAAGCTCAAATATTTGACCAATCAGAAAACGTGCAACACTTCTGCAGAATATCCCAGCAGAACGTTTTCTTCTAATAGAAACAGGGAGGATGCTTTGGTTTGCTGTAATCATTCCCGCAAGAGATTTGGCCGCAGATCATAAATGAATAAATCTATAAATAATAAATAAAAGGAGCTTTGAGAAGTCGGACCCACTCAAAGCAAACCTCACGGCGTTGCCGCTCATCACAGACACGTTTCTGCAGGTTTAATCTGAGCTGCACCGACACATCCACTGTACATTCTTTCAGACGCAGCTCATCGTACAGGTACAGGAGGTGGGATCGTTTCTCACCTGGCGTTCAGCGGCTCGTCCAGTTAAAGTATCGTGAAAGCTGCTGGCGTTGTGTTGTGTTTCGTGAAATCTCCGGGGGGACGGTAGACAATCCTGGTGTTTAAACACAGGAGCTGTAGAAACTTTGGACACTCCGAGTGACACTCATGGTTTATTTCAGACACGAGCAGTTCCTTTACATGTTTCTTTGCACCTTTTGTGGGTCCGTTTGTCTCTGACCCACACACACAGTCATTGTGTACCTAAGTGGGTTTGATGTAGTGGTTTATTTATTGACTTATTTTACAATAAAATGGGATTTTTAAGAATTCCTGCAGCATTCGTATTTCTTTTTTGTTTAACATTTATTGTGACTCTTCCGGTGTTGCTTTTATTCACACGGCTTATTCACAGTCTCATTTCATGTCAAATAAAGCATGTAGAACCCTTTTTACCATGAAAGTCTTAGTCACCAGCATCATGTAATCAATCACAGATTTCATTATAATTTGCAGAAAGTCAGCAGTGACAGGTTTCTGCCTCCTTCAGCTTGTCCTGTTCTTGTAGGCAGCCAAGTTTTGAGGCCTCTCTGCAGAGGCTGGAGGTTCAACGCCCCTTTAACTGCTGTCTTAGCTCTGCTATGTGAGCAGGGCCGATACGACAGCATCCCCCTGTAAGACAGAGAAGAGCTGCTCAGAGAAAATGCTGCAAAACAGAAAAAGACTGAGTATAAGAGAAAGCAGCTGAGCTCACCTATCAGAGCAGCGCCCTGCTTCACCCACATGTGGCTCAGATCAGGCGTCCATCCTGATGGTTTTCCTGATGTTTGCCACCTTTGAATGAAAAAAAGATCCTTTACTGAATCCACACAGATATTTAGCAGATTTTCCTTTTTCTCTTTAAGGAATCAAGTTTTTATGGTAGCTTTATGTTGTATTTACAGAATGTAAACGTTGATGTGAGGCGTTTAGACTTAGTGTGTTAATTTAGCTTCAGACCCACCCCCGCTCAGTGTCCCACTCCTCTCCGCTGTTAGGGTACACCACCCAGCTCATGTTTGAGACGTGCAGCGGTCCAGCAGAGTCCAGCAGCGACTCCACCACGTCTGGAGGACAGCAGTTGACTCCCACAGCGAGCAGCTGCGTGGATCTCTCGGCGACCCGCATGGCGTCAGCGAACAGGCTGCCGTCCGATATACGCTTCTCGTCCTGATGGCGAGGCGAGTCATTGTGTGACTAACAACGAACTAATATGGATCTTTCGTCATCGCTGTTCACGGGCAGCGATTACCTTACAGGAGAACGACAGCCAGGCTTTTGAGTTTGGAAACTCCCTCAGCAGCTCCACCACAGCCTCCGCCTCTTTGATGCTCGGGATTGTCTCAAAGGCGATCAGATCAACTCCCGCAGCTGCTAAGCAGTCAACCTGAGGCCTGTGCCAAACTTTAAGCTCCTTCAAATAGATTAAAGACACAAGTGTACACAGCTTAAATGTGTTTTACAATTAAAATGTCATATAGATCTCTGTTGTACTCAAAATGCTTCAATTTTGTTTGTAATTCTGAAAGTAGCCATAGTATTAAGGTAAAAAGTGTCATAGTGTCATTAAATATACTGAAGTTATTGTCCCAAAAAAGGAGGTACTTAATGATTTTTCATGAAATGAACCGAAAATATAAACAGAACCAGAACCGGAGATATAAACAACTATTCTGGGTAATCTTCTCAAAGCAGGCATAAAGTCCAGTAGGTGGCTGAGGGGTACCTACTTCAACACTCATCTGCTCTGCGTAAGCGCCAGTGTACTCCGAGCCATCGTGGAGAAAGGCCCCGTACGGCCCCACAGAGCCTGCCACCAGGGGGCGTCTCTTCCCTTTACAGAGAAATAAACAGTGAGATTATATCACAGTTTACAGCAAGAGTCGGCTCAGCTCAGCGTAAGCTCTCCTACCTGACTCAAACCTCTTCACTGTCTCTTTGGCCAGATGAACTCCGGACATCAGCAGCTCTCTGGCGCGTTCAGCGCTCACCTCCAGGTGGCTGATGAATCCTGGGATACTTGCCTGGTATGTGGCTGTCGTGATGACATCAGCACCACTGAGGAGGAACCTGTTCACACAAAGTGTATACATTAAGTGCTGATTGATTTGTATTTACCAACATTTTTTGCATGGACACACCTGTAATGAGCATCTCTTATGGCCTGAGGAGCAGTGTGCAAAAGCCTGGCGCTCCACAGAGGGTCTCCCTGCATATGTAACACACACACACACGAATTTCAGTCCAGATTCACATTAATAAAAAAAATCTTATATTTGATCTGTAAAGACCAGATAAAAATATTATTCACCTGTTTACGTACTTTATATTTCTCAAGAGGGCAGATTTGGGAAATTCAGTAAAGTAAAATACAATGAAAAAAAAATCAAAGCTGTGAAAAACAAGTAGCTCACAGTCACAGAGAGGCCGTGAGAACAAGGCCAGAGGATATATTCAGGTCATTTAACCATCTCTCTGAAAATAAATACAAAACTATGCAGGTATTTTCTGCTGCAAAGATACAGAGTACACTCAGATCGCAGATGAGCCTTTGATGCTCAGGTTTGACTGACTCTGTAAAGTTCAGCAAGCTGTGATTCTAAGTAGGGAATATCTGCAGTCTACATCCCAGGTGAAGCATTGTGAGCAACTAACAAGTCCCAAGTTGCACAAGTTTCACCAGCACGTGTAGGAAATGCAGGTGTGGTGACGACTGGAAGTTTCTCGGGTGGAGTGGACAGAGTTTTTCTAACTTCACAAACAGATGTGCTGTAGACAAAGAAACTTAATGTAAGAAGAAAAAACACTTCTGTTTTGTTTTGTGCGCTTTTGAATCTCTTGGGTTTCAGTGGGTTGGACATCTCAGGGCCACATATGCTCCCATTCAGGTGACGTCTTTTTCAGGAAAGGCCTTGCGTATTTCAGCAGGATGATGGTAAACAGCATACTTCATCAAATCTGAGTCTGAGTGCTGAACTGCAGGCCTGTTGTCCAGACCTTTCATCAAGCAAAGCGTCTGGAGCATCATGAAACCAAAAACACAACAAAGGAGATTCAGGACTGCTGAGCAGCTAGAATCCTGTATCAGACCAAAATGGGATGACATTCCTCTCCTGATAAGTCCAGCAGCTGCTCTCCTCAGTTCCCAGACACATGGCCTTGTCCCACCCTTTTTTTTATAGATATGTTACTGCCATCAACTTCAAAATACAGACATGGATTAAAAATAGACACAAAACATCTCCAGAGAGAAATTAAATTAGTCTAATCAATAGAAAATGGTGACCTGTTGCAGGTTATTTTTATGATTTACCTGCAGTTTGGCTCCATGCGCTTCCAGATCAGTTGCCAGTCCACCATCTAGGATCAATGGCCCTTCATCATTAACCATTTGTGTGAGAAGAGCAGAGGAGCCCATGGAGCAACACTTTATTAAAAGATTTACTGGAGAATTCTTTGCACTGCTTTTCATAAGAAGATCATTCAGTCAAGTTACTAACGCTGACTCCTCTGAAATAACACCACCGGGCAGCTTAATTATTCACACAGAAGAGAGTGAAGTGCAACATCAGATCCTTCACGTTTCATAATGTTGTCCTTCCGGGTAACAGTGAAGGTGCGTTTATGGCCGCTCAAAACTGAACTTCTTCGCAGCATCAGCAGACCGCCACTAGATGTCCTCCTACACAATAAATGCACACTGTATTTCACCAGAATCCGATTCTTGCTCGCTCCTTTACTTTATAAACAACCACTGGAGCAAGACAGCGCAGCTTTTCTTTTGTACTGCTTTATAATTATCACGTATACAGTTTAATTTAAGATATCCATCCAATCATTTATGACTAATATATTACATTTTAAGGTCTGCATAAAAACAAATAACAAAAACTGTGCTGAAAGGTCAGACTTCCCATGAACACGTGAATGCACCTCTGCAGTTACTATAGAAACGAAGTACGGCTAATGTTTGCTAGCTAACAACAGTGTGCTGTCACACAGAGTTTACAGGGATGTTTTAAAAGATGGTGAGTAAAGATTCCCTCATGTCATCAAACTGGGGGGCGTGAGGGCTTCGGTGAAGGTAAAAACTTCCGTTAGAGCCTGAAACAGGTTGCTGTTTGCTACTGTTAGCATAATAAACACAAGCTAGCCGAGCAGTTCTAAACATCAGTGCTTCAGGCTAACGGGTTAGCCGTTAGCTCCTTTAAAAATATCATTTATGGCTTATACACAGTTTAACTACAGATACTACAGGTAGCTGTGTGGTTAATGTCTAACGGTGAACATCAGCTATGATTAAATTAGCTAAAGGTGTAGCTGAGCAGGTGCTTTTAATGTTGGTATACCTGGCATCAAACATGTTTCTGCTCAAAGAGTTTCTATCCATTCAGCTGGTGCCCATGTTTTCTGTTTATTCGATTGACTAAGCTGAGTGGAGGAGGTGGTCTGAGCTTTTAGTTGTGAGAGACATCCTTATCTCTCACACGGTGCGTTAGACGACTGATTAATGCTAAACTGCAGACTGGTTAATCAATCAATCAAATTATATTTGTGTAGCACCTGTAGGAGGTGGGTGCAGATACTTTAAAGAAAACAAAATGCAATGATACAGAATATGAGAGGAAGAAAATTCTGAGCATCTTAAAAATAATTGAAAACATAAAACATTACAAAGTAATGATATTACTGATATTTTAAGAGCTAATCGAAGAAAGGAGGAGGAGGGCAGTCATTTATTATGAAAAAATAACCCACTTTGAATTTTTCTTAATTAATCAGACTAACAGCACCAAAACACTGTTACTGATTTATTTGTCCTTGAAGAAATTGTATTCATTTATCCTACTTTTTACTGCCTCTGTGCCTTTCCAGTGGTGCCATCCCACATTGAAGGAGCACTGCTTTGAATATACAAACTAAGAAAGTAATAGTAGCACTGATGTTTTGCTTGTTCGGGATAAGACCCGGATCATCCCCAGGCTTCATGAAGCAGTGGGGCAAGAGATAGGGAACATTTTCTTTGCAAAACCAATTGGATTAATGATGAGCAGAAGACCAGGAGACACCTTCAGCAAATCATCCTTTAAACATGATAACACTGGCCTGGCGGTGATTAGGACAATCACTGCAGCGAAATAGTCTGTGAAATCACTTCCTGTGTCTTCCTAACTGCTTAATCTTAATAGGAAATGTCATGAGGAAGATAAGGAGTGTGGAAATGCAAACTTGTCCTGAAGATGGAAGACAGAATGCAGAATGCAATATTTGCAAATCTCATGAGCCCATAT